ACCCCCCCCTCCCCCGGGGCACTCCCCAGAGATTCCCTCATGGCGGGTGGGGGGGAGTGGGGGTGGGGAAGCCAGATGAAGCCTCTGATTAAATGTGACCGTCTAGAGTGATTGGATGCTTTTGGGTTCTAGCCGCGGAAGCAGAGATTAAACCGTGAAGGGAATGTGCTGGTTGAATGTCAGGTCAGCTCTGTAGAGCAGTTTACATACTGCACATGCTGCACACACACACACACACACATGGGGTAATCAGACTGCCGTCTGGCCTTTAAGTAGGATGTAACCCTCTCCAGATCAGTTCTGTATTCAATTGACTGAGCAAACACATCATTTATACTGTTATTTTTGCAGCTTTGTGTCACATTTCCTTCTTTTCAGTCTCGTTCTGTGAAGATGTAGGTTTCATCCCGCAGGTCGTCGAGAGCAGTGTTAGAGTTGCTACCCCCTTACCTGAAAGGCATAAGGCCGCACCCCCACGTGTCAGTTTGTCCCCACCAGGCCACCGTCCCTGCGCCGTAGTAATACCCCCCTGCCGCTGAATGGACTGCAGATGCTGCCCCCAGCCCTGACAGTGCTGCCCATTATGCCCCCGCCTGGGGGGCTGCAGCCTCCCACACAGTACCAGGGTAAAAATAGGCGTTTGCTCAAAGGCATTCTCTCTCTCTGTCTCTTCCTCTCTTTCTCCCCATCCCCCTCTTGAGCAAAATGGCTTCTGATAGCCTTTATGGCCTGGACCGTCTTCAATCCTGGGATGACGCCGTTTTTATGTTGGTGATGGCAGTAGGTTTGTCCTGTCACTGAATGAGCCCCCGGTGAGCGCCGTGCACACGCTCCCGCTCCCGCTCGGAACTCCCCGCCTTCGCCATGCGTTTCCCCGTCTCGCTTCAGTCGCCGCGCCCTGATGCTCCCTCTCTCACTGGCTACACACGGGGAAAACGCACCTGTGCGGTTCCTTTCTGAGGTGTGACGGCATGTGTGAGTCCCCTGCGTCTGCCTGGGCCGGGAAACCGCGGGCTGGCCCACGGAACCACTGCAGGACCCAGCGCTCGGCTGTCCGTCCCGCACACAGATGGCGCCTGTGCGCTTTGAGGCCGCAGTGAGGCCCAGACTAACAGATTATAGGTCAGCGGTTCCATGCCATGTCCACCCTGGTGTCTCGGGCGGAGGGAGCAGATGTCTGCGTTAAACCATTAAAATACCAGAGGAGGGATTAAAAACCAGTTTAACAGTTTAATTAGTATTGAATCTTCTGAAGTATGTGGTATTCTTGAAGTTCTGAGAACGGATAGGCTTAAGGCGTAGGATTTCAGTGAGCTCCGCCCCCGTGCCTGGGCTTCCCCGTAAGCGCTTATCTGGATCATTCTCCCTTTAATGATCGTGGGCTGGCTCTCGGCGGCTGTAGAGACCTGTGACGTCCACTGTGGGTGTGGGTGGGGGGGGGGGCGCATGTTTTTCATCCATCCATGCGCTCGGGTGGTGGCCGGCGTTTTGCTGAACTGAGCGAGCTAGCGTGGCTCCTATCTGGTGCTCACTGCCTCCCCTGTCCGTCCTGCGTTTATGGTGGAACTTCCTGGAGGTTTCTGCCCTGTGAACATGAGATGGATCCTATGGATGGGATCGCCGGCGCGGTACCTCATTGTGGCCGAGCCTGACTTCACCCCTCGTCCTTATAAGGAAGTCGCGCGGCGTCTGGTTTACGAGGGTGACTGGGGCGGCCCCGGTCCCATTTGGCAAAGCCAAAATCTGTTTTTGAGTTTGGTTCCATTCGTCATCGGAGTGTGACTTTGTTTACGGGCGTGTGGCAGTGGCGTGTGGCAGTGGCGTGGTAGAGTGTCATGCGTTGATGTTTGCGTCTCATTGGGGTTGCTGGGTGACCAGCCGAGCGAGAGAGGGGCTGGATTTAATCAGGGCTGCCCTGTGCTGGGGGGGTTACAACCCCCGTCTGTCTGTGTATGGGTTTGCATAGATCACATTTGAGGACCAAATTGTCCCCAAAGTGTAGTAAAACCTGAAATTTCCCTACTTTTGGGGACATCTTTTGAGGTCCCCATTTGGATAACCTCCTCAGTTTAAAAAAAAAATAAAAAATTCTGAATGTAATCCAAAGAGTAAAAATGCCAAAAGTCTTGTATTTGGGTTGGTTACTTATGGTTAAGGTTAGGGATGGGTAGAGGTTAAGGGTGTCGTGATTGGGATTAGGGTTTTTCCCAAAGAAATGAATGGACGGTCCCCATATAGATAGGAAGACCAACTTGGGGGTGTGTGTGTGTGTGTGGGTGTGTGTGTGTGTGTGTGTGTGTATCTACCAAATGTCTCCACTATATGGTAAAACCTGTTACATTTCTGCCTGTAGGGTAAACATAAACCTTAATTTAATAAAATCTATGAATGGAAACAACTAGAGTAGCCTGAGGTCTTGTATGTTGTTTGGTTACTTATGTTTACAGTTAGGGATGGGTAAGGCTTAAGGTTATCATAGTTAGGGTTAGGGATGGGTAAGGCTTAAGGTTATCATAGTTAGGGTTAGGGATGGGTAAGGCTTAAGGTTATCATAGTTAGGGTTAGGGATGGGTAAGGCTTAAGGTTATCATAGTTAGGAGAGTCCCCACAATGATGATAATATATGAACTGTGTGCATCCTTTGTGTTGGCGGCGGCTATCAGCCTCTGTCGGTTGTACTGGATTGTAGAAGAGGGGGGGGGTCTGCTGGCCTGTCTGTGATGATTGAAGAACAGGGCTAACAGCGTTTTGTCTGTAAACGAAGGGAGTTATAAAAAATGAGCATGGAGTCTGGGGTGAAAGTATGAGTGTTTTAGCTTGCAGCCCCTAAGCTCATTACTATGATCAGTTTGCTGGGGGCAGGAGGGAGGGGAGATGTATGTCCTGGGGCATTTTTTTTTGTTGCCCCATCTCCTCTGATGACCTGCCGCTGCTCTGAAATTCAATAGCTGCTTAAACGATGCCCCCCCCCCCAAACCCTAAGCAAATGGCTAATTCCCTGCGTGAGGGGGAGGTTTTTTCAATCAGAGTTAATGCAGGCCACCGCCACCCACCCCTGGCCGGGCCGGAGCCTGGCGTAGCGCACTCTGCTTAATGATGTGTCGGAACGGCCGGCGCCCGCCGCCTGCTCCATAACGACCCGTCGCTAATTAACATCGGGCCCGTTAGCGCAGGGCCCCGCCGCTTCAGTTTCGAAGCTCTGCTCATTAAAAACCAACGAAATGTGGTCATTTTCAAACTTCCCCGTGTTGGGAGTTCCTTGATTTCCCCCAGGAATGGTGTCCCTCTTCCAAATCTGGCAACACGGTTTCAGGGAAGGGGCCGTGGGCCTCGCGGAGAGACGGAGGCGAGCTTTACGCGGCCGAGGTTTGCTGCTATCGGCCGCTGGGTCTTCGTGGGGCATGTCGGTTTCGTGCCTTTCCACAAAACGAGCGACACACCGGTCCGATCTGTGTGTGGGAATGTAAAGTTCTGATGCTCCCAGAATTCTTAGGCATCCAAACGGACATACGATTTGACAGAGAATCAATTATTTATCATGGAAATGTAATTAAGGCAAAAAAGCAGCTTTTAAAACCCCTGTGAATCAGACCAAGGCTGATTTTTAGTTTTTTATTTGTGATGAGAGGCTGAGCAACTCGGGACGGAGGCGTTTCAAAGCAGCGGCGGCCCGCTTGGGTCCGAGTGTCGGACCGCTGCTGCTGGCCAGTTTCCGACACGCTGGGATGGAGAAGCCGTCTCCATTCATTCTCATTTGAATCAGCTTCTAAGGTGGGAAAGCTCAGCCGTTTGGAAAACCGCTATTAACAAGTGGTTCCTTTTGCAGTTTAACATCCCTAACATGCTTCTCGCTGGGGTGCGATCAGCCAACACTGAAATGCTACTCGCTGGGGTGCGATCAGCCAACACTGAAATGCTACTCGCTGGGGTGTGATCAGCCAACACTGAAATGCTACTCGCTGGGGTGCGATCAGCCAACACTGAAATGCTACTCGCTGGGGTGCGATCAGCCAATACTGAAATGCTACTCGCTGGGGTGCGATCAGCCAACACTGAAACTCGATATTTTTGATAGTAGTAAAAGAAAAAACTAATTCCGAGTTTTTGCATCTGGTCGCGATTTGGTGGGATTCCAGAAAGGAGGTATTTTTCGGCAGAAGTTTCAGCTCTTAAACTACTGTTCATAACCTCTGTCTTAGTGGTCAGTAATGACCTGGATGGACTCTTTGATGTTACATCTGAACTGGTTCTTTGAATGTTTCAGTATGTCCCTGGCTTGATAACTTACTCAGTTTCTAAAAGGGACACTAGAATGTTTATTCTAAACATGATCATTTGACACGTGACATCAGTAACAGATTATAACTTGTGTGGAGTCAGTCTTCCAGCGTGTTCCCAACCCTTCTACCCCCTGGGATGAGCAGTTATAGAAACAGATAAATGGACAGATTTAATAGAAAAGAAAAGTGAGGAGGGGGCGGGGAGCCGGGCGAGCCTCTCGCATGAGGGGCCGGGAGTCACCATGTGCTCTTACCTTCCAGAAATGTCTGCATCGCGTGGGCTGTGAAATCTCCATTCTGCTGCCTCTTTGTTCAGCACTTTGACTCAGGACACCGACTTTGAATTAATTTTGAAGGGAATCCTGTGGGACCTTAAAATGCTTAAGTACGTCAGAGACGCAGCAATCTGTGTCGGCCAATCATGTCTCACTGCATGAGCTGCATCACCTCTCAGCAACGGCGCCAACTCAGCAGCCTGGAGGTTTTCTCGGATAAGCGGCGATTAAATGTCTCCGGGACGCAGACGGGTCCCTCGAAGGCTGACCTGTGTAATCAGCGAGCGGCCTGGGCGGGGCTTGCTGCGCTCGCGGCCTGGGCGGGGCTTGCTGCGCTCGGGGCATGTCAGTAGGCCGCCGTTCGCCCCGTCTTTCCCACGGTGGTGCCTCACCCATGCCTGTGTCTGTCACGGCCTGATCGCCTCCTTTCTTTCTCTCGTTTCAGCTGTAAACGCCTGCAGGAGATCCTGGCCCTATTTGCCCTGGCACTAAGGTACGGCGTTTCATTACCGCAAACCTCACCCTGCTGCACAACACTCACCGTGTTTATGGTTCTCTAAATGGGTCTAGGTGTGCCCCCCCCCAGTGATACTGGCCCCGCCCCTTTCGCCTGCTAGAAGGGGATGGCATTAGCCCACACACCGCACATGTTGTGGTTTCACTCATGTAAATTTGATTACCCCCACCCACCCCAGCCTGACGGAAGTAACCGGGCCGAATCTGTGGTTGCCTGGGTAACTCGCACAAGTGGAGCATGAGATGTGCAGCCTGTTGGCCGGGTGTGGAAGCCCATTTGGATGTCCGCACTCTGCCCTGCAGGGGGGGCTACAGAGCCGTGACGCTTGCGCTCTCCCCCCCCCCTCCTCATCTCCCCTGAGCAGGTCCAGCATGCACGTGCACACACACACACACAGCGCCGCTCTGTGCCAGCGTGTGACCGCTGATTCCCGGTCTGCTGGAGATCAGGTTGTGTGCCGGGTTCGAGTGTAATTAAAAGGAACATCTGCTTCTGCTCCTTCCTATTAGGCTCCACTCGCTGACAGTCTCGCATGAGCTGAGCCGCATAAGTAGCCCTTCTCATGTTTGTTTTGAATACTTTCGCGTGGCAGTGAGACAGCAACGGGGAGGCAAGCGATTAAACACGGAGCCTCCTCCTGGCCTCCTCCTGCGCCGCCGTCGCACATGTTTTTTTTTTGGAATGTTCCGGAACAGTGCTCGACTTCCTGGTAGGGGGTGCTGTGGCGTCCAGGCCTCTGAAGCCTCCACACCAGACCCCCTTGGCCCCCTTGGTAAGGCTTCAGGAGCGAGGGAGGCGAGGGGAGGCGAGGGGTATCTACTCCACTTACCACTATACTCCATGGGAGTCGTTCCTGAACCCTCGAAACGGAACATTCTGGAATGTGGTGCCAGAAGAATGGAGGTTGGGGGGCTGAAGGGCCTAATGCTGCTCGCTCGCCTCCGCCCGATTTTCCGAGGCTGGGAAGAGCTCATGTCCAGCCGCAGGCCACTGTGCTGACACCACATTATACTCAGGAAGGTGGGTGTGAGGTTAAAGGTGGGGTTCCTGCCTCACCACTAACACCAAGACCGCCCCTCGGATGTCAGCTGTGTGAGGCCTTTGTTCACTGCCCCCCCCCCCCCCACGGCCACACAGCGCGGAAGCCGGCGCAGTGCTCGAGACCTCACTGTTTACACGTATTCTGATTTTGCCTTTGTTTAAATTTATCGGAATATTAGGGTGGCGCTTTAACAGGCTGCTGGTGAGTTGGTCATGTGGTGCTTAGAGGCTGCTGGTGAGTTGGTGATGTGGTGCTTAGAGGCTGCTGGTGAGTTGGTGATGTGGTGCTTAGAGGCTGCATACGTGATGCCTCTGTCATGCCAAACCTGATACCTGGTCGCCCGGCACCTCATTTTGGCCCCCATGAAGGCCTATCTCACTGGGCCCCCAACCCAAACCAATGCAATTATTTTCCAGATTCTTTAGGGCTTGGGATTAAGCGGTTACTGTGATGGATGGATGGATGGATGGATGGATGGATGGATTTTTTTAGGGCCCCTGAGTGGAATCATCCTAAATCCCCCCCCCCCCTCTGTAGCCACCCCTCTCCTGGCACTGTCAGGAATCGTTCAGAGAGTCTGCTCTATAGTGTTGACGTCTGTCACTTTGAACATAACGTGCTTTATTCAGACGATGCTGATGGAACAGTTTGAAATGCATTCTGTGGATAGGTATGGACTTTCACACAAATTAATAATTTACACCACCCCCCATTCCCTTAATTTATGATGAAGGTCCACTTTATGTTTGGCAATGGCCCTTGGTAAATTATCATTGTTGCTGCTCAGATTTGACTGCTTCTCTTGGCCTAACATAACGTTTTTATTTTTGTACAACAGTCCTGTGAAGCTACAGTCGGATGACAGTGATTCCCATGGTGCTTTTTTAAACACACGGCCCATGGACTCATTCCTGTCACACTTATAGTGGGCACTAGCTGCATGGTTACAAAAAGACAGCATCTTGTTCCCATGGAAACGGTGACTGTACACCTGATACCTTAATTAAAGCTTGGTCCAGTTCAATCGAAGACTGTAAAGGTCTGGACACTTTTAAAAGCAGTGACACGGGTTTTGGAAACATCGGGGTGATGCTCCCTTGAAATGCTTGAAATGAACTACTGGCTGTTTCTGGCTATATCTGGTTGTAGCAGCAGCCTGTTCTGCCTCTTCTGTCGTTCACCAGATGTTTCCCAAGGCACGACGCCCCATTCCCACTTTCCCGGTGATGTGCGCCATGTTTGCCTGTAACATGTTTACTGAGCAAATCCCACAGACATCTCTGCTAAAAAAAAACGCAGCTTTTCAAAGATATTCTGTTTGTGAACAATGCAACCCCCGCCCCCCCTCCCAAAATATGATGGGGACATCATATTTTATTCTCAACTGGAAATTCATCCCTCTCCTGACCATACAGGATTCCAGTATGTTTCTGTGTCGATACGTCTCCCTGTATAGCCTTAATCATAAATAATGTGTAAGAGAGGCCGGCACTCCGCAGATATTTTTCCTCTTCATGTTTCTGGCATTTGGTGTTTATTGTAAAACAGGCTTTGCTTTCTTATGGCTTTATTCAGCTAGTTTAAATAACTGGCTGACGTACTTGTGATGTTTCAAGCTTGTCATATCTCTCTGTACTGGGAGATTTAACAGTTAGCCTGTTAGCCACTTCGAGCATGTGAGCGTTTTGGTTTGAAACCTGCAGGCCGCAGTTGTAGATCTGTGTTTTCTACACCACAATTATGTTTTTTTTTCATGTTTTTTTTTTATTATTATTATTTTTTGTTAGTTATTGCACTTGATATTTTCTAAACTCAGGAAGGAGTTGTTTTCATAACCTTTCAGTGCTGCAGGGGTAAGACCAGTCAGAAATTGTCATATAGCAGTATGGTGGGAGAGAGGAGCAGGACAGTGGGTCTTACCAAAATAAAGGGTCTTTGTTCCTTGGAAACGGGACACAAAATGGGTGCGATGTTCCTTTTAAGAAAGGCAAATTCAAAGTGAACCCAGTAAACGGCACAGTCCCGCAGACAGTGGGCCTCATCGCAAGCCCTCCTGGCCTGTTCCTGGACCCGAATCTGGCTGCCTTACCATGGTTAAACCCTGTCAGGACTCACCCAGCTGCCCATCATTGCCTGGCCTGCTCGGTTGCCATGGAGATGTAGCTGATCTGTCCGCCGCTCGCTATCACCCCACGTCACACTTGGTTTGCTTTTATTGAAGTCTGACATGCTAAATAAGAAAATCACATGTTTTTGTATATTATTAATAATGCTCATTAAAACTAAAGAAAATATATGAACATGTACAACATATACCATGTCCTTTGAGTAGTGCGCTCCTCATGACCCCAGTTCCAGATGCATTCACCCGTCATCATTCCATCCCACCTGCCCTGTTATCTTTTCTACACCAGCTGTTTGTCCTGATGAAAAGGTTCTCCATGTTCCTCACCAAAAGCACCGAGATTTGGTCGAAAGAAAACGAGATGTGAGTGCAAGTAGTGCCGCCCGGCTGACCTGCCGCCTCCCAATGTCACAGAATGTTCTGCCGTGTTGCAGAAAGTTCTAGAATGTTCCTGTGTGAAATTAGTACAAAAGCTTTCAAAATTACTCAAGTTCTAAAATTTCCGACCTAAATATACACCAAAATGTCAATGCAAGAAAATACATATTGGCATTATAATCAGCACCTTAGAAATGCATGAGAGCAATAACAAGAAAAAGGGAAGCAAATTTTTGCTGCATTGTGTAATGGGAGCAGATTCTGAGCACCGACGCTTCCAGAAAGGCCATGTGACACACGTGTTGATGTGTGTTCCAGCCGCCGGGAGCAGCTCAGCTTTGCTCGCACCTTACCCTGGTCACGTTTTTGACGCGTACGTACTTCTGATAGTCTTAACTGGTTGTGATTTTGCGTTTCCCCCTCTTTATGATTCCTTTTCATATTTTTGCTTGTCTGATTAGCTTGATCGTCAGCTGCACAGATACCATCTCCTATCTACTTGTTTGCACTTTCTCTGCTTCTAAAATTTGTCAGAATTCACACTCGGGCATTGTGGACTGGCATAAGGGATGATAAAACATTTTAAACTGTGCTGATGTGTTATATAACTGTATGGGAACTTTGTATAATAAGCTCTCAGTTTGGTTATGGTGCCGATTGGTGTGTTGATGTTTCTGCAGCCTGTTTCTGCAGCGGTCTGTCATGACCTGTATGGGTTTGTGTTCGCGGGTTATGTAGGCTGAGTGACACTGTCGACGTTACATTGCAGCGTTTGTGCTTTCGCGATATTCAGCACTCACAGTAACCTCCTGAAGAATGTTCTCATGCCAAAATGGTCTCCTCCCACTCGCTGAGCTTACAGCTGCTGACAGTCTGATATTAAACATGAGGGAAAGCTGTGATAACATATTATTTACCCGTGTAGCAAAGCAGTGACCATCCACTGACTAACCCTTTCCTGAAAACAGAGGTGTAAACAAGCAGGGTTACTGTAAGGTGTGTGTGTGTCTGTTTGTGTGTGTGCGTATGTGTGTATGTATTATTTATAGGAGTGGTGTGTGGTGATCAGCTGGTCACCATGGAGATGAGTTTCCCAAGATATCTGTTGACTAACAGCAGCCAGTCAGAGTTTGGTTAAATGACATCATCTGTACTCAGCCCAGTGCTGTAAACATCATAATCAGCTAGCTGACGGCAGACAGGGGCCTTGCTGGGTCATTTTAAATGGCCACCGAAGTGTAAGCGGGCCATTGGCAGGCAGCCGCCTGGGGACATCACCTGACTTCCGGGACCTCCTGGGGAAGGGCTTTGTGGTCGGGGCTCCCGGCCCGGAGCCGCAGCTGTGCGGAGTCACAGCCGCCGTGGCAAAGCTGCTCTCCCAAACAAGGACTTCACTGTATGTCCAGCGTTACTGTTAATGCAATTCAACTGTTCATGGTG